TAGAGATTTTGAAAACGAGAACGTTTATCATGCCGAAGTGCTGCAGGAACAGCGGTTGCTGCCGCTGCTCTTACAATTCCATAGTTCACAAGCTTCATTCAACATTAAGAGCCAATGAACTGCAAATTTTGTAGGGTACACCCCTGGATGACTAGCGACGTATGAATCCTGCTGGTGAGTAGAGTAGAGCTGTTAACGAATACAGCAGATGTCTCCTTTTATCCTATAACGTGTGCAGACATGGACGTGGGGCCTTGCCAGAACCACCTCAACCGCTTCTATTTTGTTCTCGTTCGCAGCATGCTGTGCTCCTCTATCACTCTCGTCTTTCTCTCTCTTCCGTGCTCGCTCTTTGATGCCTTAGTATAGCAACATCAGACAGCTGGTTAGCTTTCAACATTAGCGTTTTCGACAGATTCACTTCCTTTTCTCCTTACTACCAGCCTCCATCGTACCAGTGCATTCACTTTCATATGCAGAAGTTACACCATTTCAATTCCTGGAGCCTGCCTTCAAATTTTGACCTGGTGTCCTTTATTCAATGTTTTTTATATTCTGTCTACCTCTCAGTGGAGAATATTATAGAGAATAGGAAGAATAGAAAATGCTAACTTACGTTATTCTTGTTGATGTGGGAACCGTCCTTTCTTGTTCGGGCTTTGACGCGTTGCCATCTCGCATTAGCTAAAAAATTTGCGAAAATAACAAATGGGATAGAGTACTACACCGTAAATTTCCTCTGAATATGCTGAAATCAGATGTGAAACCATTTCGTGATATTTCTTGTTTATCTGCAATTTTCGACAGAAGACTTTATACGTGATACAACTAGAAACAAGCTTCGTTCCATGAACTTCTCCTGGCTCCGACCCCGTTGTTTGCAATCCATGAGATGAGCCTTCAGGGACTGTTTCTTTATTTCATTTTTTTGTCACTCGGAGCTTCCCAGCGCATGTCTTCTATAACCATACGCAGCACATTAAAGGCGGAAGTCGGGCTCAATATGGGTATTCTGGCGACTGAAGCTGAGTATGGAGATGCAAAATGGAACGACAGTGGAGAAAAACGAAAAGAAACCGTCGAGAAAGGCCGAAAACGAAACCCCCGCTCCCACTAGCAGTGAAGGAGGCTTGCTTGGGAGGGAGCCACGTCCAAACGAGTTTTTCGGATATGCCAGCCGTTCCATCAGTTACCGGTTGACACGGTAATTAACCTAGCTTGAATCCACACGTTATGCCAGTCATGCACCACATCCCGCGATGAGCGGGCCTAGCCTATGCAACGAAGCCATAGCTGCAAGTAGGATGCCAGAAGCGCAATCTCGAGCGTGGCGTCACCCCCCTGGCGCGGGCCTAGCCATAGTAGTGATGGAAAGGCCTTCTAGAGCCGCTTAATTCTGACTTGTGGGCTTTAAGATGAGCAGAAATGATAGCTCGGGGCTTCCTTTAATAGACCTGGTCGCATTCAATCTTCACGACTATCGCTATCAAAAATGTGGTATGATGGTCTACGTCAGAAGTACCAGCACCTGAACAGATCTCATGAGAGAATCTCCTATTTGGGAAATATATTATGAATAAAAATTAAAGTAAAAAATATTTGCACATCTTGGATACATAACCTTTCATGAAACTCGAAAAAAAGAAAGAGAAAACGGCGAAAACAAATCATCTTCATTCTATTGAAACGCCAAAAGATAAAAGATCCCACCGACAATTGCCAAGGAGCAGGCCGAGGCGTCATTGGATGGTGCTTGATCGTTGCAAAGAAACATCCTCTAAAGATCACATACATTTTGCGCTTTCTGCTATGCTTGTGAAAACGTTGGAAGTATTGGCAGTCTCTCCGTTACGCTCGCGAAGGTTGTTGTTCGCTCAAAGTCCGCGCTGATCCATTCTGGCATTTGAAAATCTGCAACACAATTATTCTAGGTGACTATGATCGCATACTTGTGCCAGGAACAGTACCATTTAAAACATTTATTTCTACTTGCATGTTCTCATTCGCTCTCAATGATAGTTGTTCCCCGAGTTTCTTTCCCTCCCCTACTTTCCTAGGTAATCACGCAATTTGTATCAACTGATGCAGTAATTCGTTAATTGGCTCAAGCAGTTTTCAAAAGTGGCGTTTCTCCTACGCGAGCGAAAACTCGTGATGCAAACCTTCGCCAATCCAAAAAACAATCAGAAAATAGCATCAAAATTCGAAAATCAACATCCACCAAGATCAGCCAAAAGATTTCAGGAACAATTGACAATCCCTCTATGGAAGGAATCGCTCCGTCAAGAGCAGAAAGCATTAAAAGGGTGAATTTGAGGTCGAAAACGGATGTCTCTCAGATTTTCTCTTTTTACGCACCCAGTTGTTTTGATTCAGGATCCCTTTTAAAGTAAGTGCTTGCAAAATCGATCGTCGATTGCCACATAAATAGTCGATTGTTTCATAAACTCAAGCGTAAATGGCAAGTTTTCGAACTCATAGGAAAAAACAACTGCTTCTTGCGATCAAAACGTTAACGGGAGAGATCTATTTGTGACTGTTCTGTTTACTTTGCAAAATATATGTATGCACTCACCCAATACATACGACGACGACTCCGATGATATTCATTACATTATCATAAGGCACTTTTTTGAGGCTCCCGAATAATCCAAATCGGGATACAGCCCAGCCAATGATGCATGTTACTGTATTCCACAGTAACGAACCGACGGCCATGCCTATTCCATCCATTATTGTAATAGTGAGCGCATTTCCTTCAAAGAGCTCAATTAACGACAAATCTTAATCTTCATGATACATCTTTGCAATATTTCAGAGGTCGTTTTAGTATCTGATAAAGTCTGTGCTCTCATCTTATCGAATACTAAGTCTTAGGCTGTCCAATTACAGTGTTCGTTTTTTTGCAAATGGGAATTCTTCTGAGAGGATACTAAAGTTTCCTAAACGGCCAGTCTATGTCGGCTGCTAGGTCACGTTGACCTCGCCTTCGTCCGCACGCAAAATTATTGATTATTGATTTCGTGGAAGCGCAGAGCGAATGGAAGAAGGGGAGTTCGTGGAAGGTGTTGAGAGTGCAGGCAGCAAGAAAGCCACTGGAGCTATCGATAATATTGATAACTTTCTGCCAATAAGGTGATCAGCTGTCCCCTGCAGTGTTCCACTTATTGATCGTGTTATAGCTCCTTCCTTGGTCCTGGGAGCACTGTACAATCATCTAGGCCATGATCCCACGTTTCAAACACGTCGATTGGCGCAGTGGGTTCGTTCCTTGTTGACATTGGGTCGCTCACGGGATCATTTATCCGTGACGTTCAAAATTTTGAAATCCCCGCCACCTATAACTTAATTTGAAATTAGTTGCTTTCTCACCGCAAATTCTGTCTTCAAAGAGAACGACCAGCATTCGGAATGCCTTGACATCTACAACAGAAAGCCTGCTTACGACCAGATAAAGGTATCTACTCAGAACTCAGACCGCTACAAAAGTTACAAAGATTTCGCAGAAATTTTGCACTTGAAAAAAGGACAACTTAATAAGTGCAGCAAGAGGACGGATTATTACGATGAGCTGTGTGAGCTTTTTGGCTTTCTCAAAATGATCAAAACTTAAAACTTCTCTTTGGTCAAAGACACCTTGACACTATCTTTATCATTCCAGAAACACTGTTCGGCAAGCCCTCATGACACTAGCTAAGATGGGTGTCGCGTCTAGCTTCTCCGCTCTCTTCGCCCTTCTGTTCTCCTTGCCTTCTTCTCATCTCGGTACCGAGCAGGGTCAACCGTCACGTTCGAACATTTTCGGGATTTTTGCGACCCCCTAGCTCTCGAGGGGGTCCAGTTGCGACCCCCTGTTTTTGTTAATAAGAGTGCTAGACATGAATCCGTTGCGCCAGAAGCAGAAAGCGTCTGCGTTGCGGCGTCAGCCTTGGAGCGCGGCAGGTATCACCCGGGCGCTGGAAGAACGGGACGCGGCGAAGAAAAAATTTTAGAGGGGAATAACTTTCTTGGGACGTACTTTTTTGACTTGTTGAGGTAGATTTTGACTGTGCCTGAGGTGCGCTTTCAGAAAACTACAAGGATTGCCTAACTCTCCGGAAAGTACTTCTGTTAGAAGTGGAAAACCCAAAATTCTAAGAAGGCGCACCTTCAACTTTGAAGGCCCATAATATCTTT